GTGGTGGCGAGTAATAAGCTGGAGGAGGTGGAGAGTGATAAACAGGTGGAGGAGAGTAATAAATGTGTGGTGGAGGTGAATTGTATGCATAGTAAGGAGGTGGTGGAGAAGAGTAGACGTAGTCAGTAGCCATCACCGATGGCAAACTCAAAGTCGCCACCAAAATCGCAGCTACGAGATAGGCCATTGAAGACCGAGGTTTCCCCATCTTTGCTTTCTCAACGGGGATTTTGTTCTATCTTCGAACCAATGCCTCCTGTCCCTTTTATAGATTCAATTCCATGCTCCTTCAAGGCTACCAAATCATGTTCAAAAAGTTAAAAAAATTATATTCATTGTTATACCTAACCTTCGTGGAAATAACAGAACAATAAGTTGACAAATGAGTCCGGCAATATTACAATTCAAACTTGGATTAGATTATAAAATTGTATTAATTTATAACAGAACATTTCTCCTTCTCTCTTTTATATAAATTAAATTATCATTTAAAGAAAAAACTTGTTCTTTGGTTTGAAATGTTCCTCTTTTTTTTAATCGTGACCTTGTTTTGATATTTCATTTTATTAAATTTAAGAATAAATGTAACATCTTTAAATTTTGACTTTGTAGAAGTAGGTGATAATTGTTCTACATTGATTTGGTAAGTTAGCTGTCCTGATTTATACAAATTGAATTCTACTTTTAAAATTGTAGAAAGTAGAAATTTTCAATAATTATGACATTTAGCCTTACACATTGTGAATTATTAATCTTGAAGAAGCAAATTTGACATTTAATTTTGTTATATCTTTCACTCCATCAATTTTTAATCTTTATTTTGATTTTACAGATTCAGAATGAGTAACGGATGATATGATGGATTAATCATTTGCTTCATTGGTTCCAACGATGGCAACTGCGGAATCGGAAAGCCTGGTGCGAGTGGTAGGGAGTCTTGGTCTCGAGTCGAGTTGGAGTGTCATTTCATTCTCATAATGGGAGTTGTCTCGAAGAGAGGCTCGATGAAATATACATGTCTATTGAGCTACCACTCATGCAGCGGTAAAGACCCGCAACTCTCGAAGAGGAAGAGGCTACCAACCACCCATGACAGATGGTGGCCAGAGGGATCGCTAGATGCTTAACTTGGGTGATAAGTTTATGATTAAATGTTATTTTGATTATTAAATTATTAAATTTTATTTATTTTAAGCGTTCTCAAAATGTCTACTTTCATTTGTAAGCTTCAAAAAATAGTCATTTAGGTCTTTAACGTTACTATGCTGTATTGTACACTGTATCGTCGTTTTTAACTCCTTAATTTCAAATTACTCAAACTACATTATAAATAAACCAGGAGAATTAAAATTCTTTTAGACTTTTTAGTTTAAGGAGAGGACTGTTTTCCAATGATACCAAATAATTATGTTCTACGTGGTTCGGTGATTTTAATATTTCTGAGGATCTGTGTCGGTCTTGTGATCTAAATTCATAAATTGTATTGTTTTGTCTCTCTTTTTTCTATGGTGGTTGTAATTTAACTAATCCCATTATTTTTTTTTCTTTTGGCTAATTTTAGAGGTAAACTATATAATATATATAGCCGGCACACTACAATTTCTTTCTCCAATAATTGTAAAATGGATGTACGCCATAATGAACCACTATAATCTTCGTTGTTGACTTCTTCTGGCGGTGTATTCTCCTCACAAATGGTATCAGAGCCTTCGTAGTCCTGGAGACAGTGTATCGCCAAAAGAAAGTTTCAGAAATCAACTCTAATCAGGAAAGTTGAAGGTGTTCTCTGTTCTTCGTAACAAAATCTCAGTATCCCAAATTCTTTAGGTCAGACATAGAAATTCAGAAATCTGGAGAGATGTCTGCAAAGTTTGAGTCTCGAGAAATTTTATGGCAAGAAATATTTTTGCCAGGGGAAGAACGGAGTACATAAATAATCAACCTAGTGATGTAGCCGTATATGGCCTTTGGGATAGCTTATTAAATCTTAAAAGTTGAGCTTTATAGTTGTATTTCTTTTAAAATATCTTTTATTGTGTAGTAACTACAAGTTACTATTAGTTGCTAGTTTGTTAGTTAGAATCTCTCTATAAATAGAGAGACTTTTCCCATAATAATGAGATTTGAGATATTCTTTCTTTCATTGAGATTACTCTCCACCAAATTGGTATCAGAGCACCGGAAAGAAAAAAAATTTTTGGGCGTTCAAATGGCGGGAAAGAAACCTATCATAGGAGACGTTTCTTCCATGACCAACAAATAAGCGGAGCAATCAGCCGCTCTCCTACCACGAGCATTGACCACACGCTTGCAGTTGGTCGAAGGGGATATCAAGAGTATACATAATGATGTGGATGAGATCAAACAGATCTTGGGTATTATACATCAGCAACTGGAAAATCTGAATTTAAATGGAAGTTCCTCAACAAAATCCATCAAGACTTGATCAAGAAACTAGAAGGGAGAACCATCAGGGAATCCGGATCCAAGAAAGACCAGCAGCCCCTCCAAGAAGACATCAAGAAAGGGGGCAAGAATTCAATCTGGGACCAAGATTTCACCAAGATCGTCGTCAGCACCTTCAAGATTTCAATAACAACCCCCTGTTTCAAAGGCGACAGTATCTTTTTATGGATTATTCCAGCGATGAGGAGGAAGATCTTCTCGAGATGGAAGGTAATAGGCACGGGTATCAAGCTCGACCAAATAGACAACAAGATACAAGTGAATACAAACTCAAAATTGACATCCCTACCTTCAGCGGAAAGATGGACATAGAAGGGTTCTTGGATTGGGTGCGGAATGTTGAAAATTTCTTTTCATACATGAACACGCCAGAACATAAAAAGGTACGTTTAGTGGCTTTCAAACTTAAGGGTGGTGCTT